ACAATGATTTTGGCCCGCGTGGCGAAGGGAACGAGAAAGCCAAGTGGATCAAAAAGACGTGCCAGTGTACTATAGATATTCCTCATAGTAGGTGTGGGACGGTTAGTGAGGCTGCACTTGTATGCCAGAGTGTCTGAGGCACAAAGCCATCGGAGTCCAAGTGCGAGCTCCTGTGGATCCTCCATTGATTCTGTGAACCATAACTCACTGCTCTCGGATCTCGCCCCTTTTGGAAGGTGACTGATAACTTCTGGAACGTTACTAGTCCACTGACGCAGCTCGAAACCCCCTGAGGCTAACAACATCTTCAATTTGTCAACCAGCTGTCTTGCTGCTGTAGGGGATGAGAGGCTCTGTAAGTGGTTATCCACATAAAAATAACGCTTAACGGCCACCCTGACGTCCTCCTCTGGCTGGCTATGGTCGGTCACATGTTTCTGTAGTGCAAACGTTGCACAGCAGGGGCTGCATGTCGTTCCGAAGGGGAGGACCTGCCACTCATAAGTGCAGGGTGGCGCCTCTTTGTTCAGGTCCCTCCAAACAAAACGAAGCAGGGATCTGTCTTCTGGCAGCAGCCTGATTTGGTGGAACATGCCTTTTATGTCACTACTTATAGCGACAGAATGCTCCCGAAATCTTAGCAGGACACCTAACAGGCTGGAGGTCAATGTGGGGCCTGGTAGCAGAAGCTCATTCAGGTTATAGCCCTTGTATGCAAAGGAGCAGTTGAATACGAGTCTGTTTTTTCCATTATGACTCACCATGTGGTGAGGTATGAACCAGGACTCTGTAGACAAACTCAGCTCTTCTTCTGTTACCTTCTTCACATACCCTGCCTGTTCCAATTTCAGGATCTCTGCTGCATAGGCTGATGCTCGTATTGGGTCTTTCATCAGACGTCTTTCGGTGCTCCGCAGACTCGCCAGTACAGCATCCTTGGAGGTGCGGAGACAGGGCATGTTCTTTACACGAAGCAAAGGGGTGGCGTAGCGATTGACTCCGTCGACTTCCACCCTCACTGTCCTGGTTTCCAGCATGCGAACTGCCTCTTGATCGAGCTTTGAGCGAATCACCATCTTCTCACTCCTATAAGGCAATACTTCCATTTGCCATAGCTTCTCAACATGATGAAGGAGCTCTGCAGAGGGTGACTGTGTGGCGATATGCAGACACTGCTGTGGCTGGAGATATTGTCTGAGGATCTTGGTTGGGCCCTGAATAGTCCAGCCCAACTTGGTCTTTACAGCGGCTGGTCCTCCAGGCGGACCCATACGAACCGGTTCCACTGGCGTGATCAGATGCGTGTAGTCTGACCCAATCAGGACCATGGGATGAACACATTCCAATGTTTGCAAAGGGAGTCCTTTCAGGTGTTTATATTTGCGCTGGAGTGTCTTCACCGGTTGTGAGTGCTCTGCCAGCCCCAGCTGATCGGCAGTAAAGGCTCTCCTGATCTTGTAGGATTTTTGGGGGTGACTGGCAGGAGAAATAGAGAAGGAGACAGACATACCCTGTAGAATTCTAAGATCCTGGCGCACAGTCCTTAAAGCGAGGCTCTCTGGTTCCCCTTTAAGTTTAAGCTCTTTAGCAGCGGCTGGAAGTAACATAGTCCGCTCTGACCCGTCATCCAGTATCGCGTAGGTCTCCAGGGCCTGCTCTCCATTATGTAGCACAACCTTTGTTACCTTCAGGAGCACCTGACTACAGCCAGACTGCCTATCCAAGTAGAGAACTTCATTGGCGGTACTCACTAAACAGGAGGTGTTCTCTGTGGCTGGTGTCACTATGGCTGACCTAATGTTAAGGTCGTGGAGAGCTTCCAGATGTCTGCCATTACAATTCTTGCACCTGGCCTTTAGTTTGCACTGTGCGGCCTGATGACAGCGACCACAACGCCAGCACCGCCTGTTTCTCTTGATCCAATCTCTCCGCTGCTCAGTTGTTAGCTGGCTAAATTTACTGCACTGGTTCAAGTAATGCAGGGCATCGGTACAGTATGGGCAGGGCAGAGTGACTTTGCCTTGTGGATTAGCACTAGTGGATGGGAATACTGGGACAGTCGGGCCACTTGAAGACTGTTCCGCTCCATGGAGGACTGTGGTTGGCCTGCCATACTTTGAGTCCTTCCGTCTCTCCCTTTTACCTTCCGGGTTCTCTCTGGGTCGGGATTCATATCCATACTCCTGAATCTGCAGCTCAAACTCCAGCCAGCTAGCGAAGTCTAACAGCGTAGGGACACGGATGCCGAGGGGTTGTAGGTGTCTCAGAAATCCAGACCGCATGTCTTGCGGGAGCTTGGACATAAGCCTAGTGACATGGGACCCACACTGAAGCTCAATATGGCCTTTCTCTCCAAGCTGATCGAGCATGCCAACCAGGGCTCTCACTCTGAGGGCAAATCCTTTAAAGGCAGCAATGTCCTGACTACGGATGTTAGGCGCCTCCATCAGATCGGCAATCCGCCTTAATGCTAGCTGGTGAGGTTGCCCATAGTGCTCTGTTAAGGAGGCCATAGTGTCGGTGTAGGGTTGGGTAGAGTTGGTGTATGAGTCAGCAATGAGGAGTGCTTCCACAAATTTTAGATGGTCAACTAGAATCTGATATTTAAACCTCTCCGTAGCATCCTTGGGGAGGAGATTCTCCAGGGAGGTCTTCAGCCTAGCAAACTCACGTGGGTCCCCGCTACTAAAATCTGGGATGGTGGGTTGAGGACCCCGATAGATGTACTCTGTTGCTTGACGGGAGTGAACGTTTTCAGGTCTCTGTCCATCAGCTGCGCCTGGCTCAGGAGGAATCACATGAGGTAAAATATGTGGACGGTCTTGCGGCTCCTTCAGCTGGTGTGACCTCACCATCCGACCAGATGCAACCAGCTTACTGTTCTCTGATGCTGCCATTTCAGGAAGCTGCTCCTGAGTACTCCCCATCTTCTTAAGGCATGTCATCAACTCTACCACTAACTCTGTGGGCAGTGTGGTAGTGGATAGCTGTGGTTTCTCCTCATCATCTGCCACTGGAGGGGGGGGAAGGGGCCAGTCTTCATCGTCCACTTCTACTTTACTGGATACCTGCACAGGTGCTAATGTAGTATGGGCCGTAACCTGTGGTTTGGGTCTTAGTGAGCTAGTGGCGGCAGTGTGCACTGAGGGTTGACCGTGCGGGCTGTACTCCGGGGGGGAGAATGCAGTGTGTTGTGATGGATCTGGACCTTTACTTAGATTAAGCTGTGTTTGCATCTCCATTACGATGAGTTGAAGCCTTTGGTTCTCCTCTCTTATCCTTTGCAGCTCATCTAATATTTCAGGTGAAGCCCCTGGGGTTACTCTGTGAGACAGTGGTCTAGCTGGGGTGCTCTCATAATGGGGTCCCGAGAACACTGACTCTCTGGAATACTTAGAGCGAGCACCAGTCCGGTTCCACTGATCAAGTAGCTGTGAAGTGCTTGACATCTGGTCAATCCTCTCACTACTGTAATAGGGCTCCTGCATCTGATAGGAGGGCTGTGAGGAGAGTGATGCAGCCTGGGGGGGTCCCTCCACAACAGGCAGGGAGACTTCATAATCAGCAAACCAGGTTGGCGGACGTGTCTGACGTCTCGGACGGGTATTAGGAAGTGGCGTCGCCTCACCTCTACCATATGGAAACATCCTCCTTCACAGCAGTCACACAATATCCGGCTCGAAGGACCAATTTGAAACGAAGACCTTGATAGCTAGGACTGTAATTATTGCTTGTTGGGATAAGTGACCACTGTGGTGCATCGGTAAGAATGCAACTGGATGCTCTGACTCTCTTGAAGGGGTTTATTGACAGCCAACAGATGATTGTCTGTCTTCTTAAAATGTACAGTATGTGTGGTTCTACAACAACAACAATAAAGAAAAGAAAAATATCAGCATACAAATAACAAAATGCTGTCAGGATACAATTATTAAAGCTAATACTTGTCATTTAGTATAATCTTCACTTCAGGTAACTTTAGCTATTTAAATCAAATAAACAAATAATATACCAGCACACATTAGCTTATTATTAAATTAAACAGCCTTCTCTCAGTAACAACAACAACCAAAACACATAGTTCTCGACAACATAATCATTATAAACACTCCATGAATAACTATGCATGCAGTATCAGATTAATACTCATAAGCACAATAGTAGTGTATTACTAATAATACTAGGCATTAATGTGCTGTTAGCGAACTTTTAGCTAACAATACTGCATTTCAACTGAGTACCTCAGATTCAACAACACTCATAAATACCCTAATACACCAAAATACACATATGTAAAACATTCACCAGGGTACTCACATGTCTCTGAACGCACACATGCACGGATCACAGCACAGATGACTGATTTATTAACTATTCTCCTCAGAAATATCTACGATGGGCTTCCCGGCCACTCTCACCGTTAACTCAAAAACGAAACCTATCAGTTCGCGCAAAACGGGTGTCCTCTCCGTGACTCCAAAAACAAAGGCGCTGATTGGCTGATCCCCGTTACCAAGACATTAATAACGAGTCCTTCTTTACAACTGCTCTATTGGCCTTAAAGCTACACTGTGTGATTTTTACCCCCATCTAGCGGTGAAAAGGCATATGACCATCCAGTGAATATTAGTTTCTGTTCCTCTCAATTCCGATTTCGTTTTAACTCCTATGGTGGCCAATGTAGTCCAAGATTAACATGGCTTCCAGTTCGACCTCGTCCATAAGTGTTAACTCAAACGTAAACCCGAAAAGCGAAGCTTGAATTAACAGGTATGTCCCTCAACATGGCGACCGACATTAGAAGCCCTTACCCGTATGTATTTGCAATGCCATATTATACACTCAAGGGAATACTTTATGACTTGAACGAAGTAAATATACATTAATGAGAACATATATTTTTGAAAGATTAAGTGTATTTAGCTAAGAATAAACTAAAAGAGTTACACAGTGTAGCTTTAAGGAAGCAATCACTTAAATAACTCTTGTTTCTCCTCCAGGCGGGTGCAGTCCTCCTCACGGGCATGGGTTGCTTCTGTGGGCCGCTCTACCACCAGGCCTTCACCAACGACCCCAGCCTCAGCAAGCTGGCCCCGATCGGAGGCTCGTTGCTCATCGTGGGCTGGGCTGCAATGGCTCTTTGAACCCTATGTTTATGCATTAGATGATGTTTTGTCATTTGAACAAGAGAAAGAGGAGATATGGGGTTGCTGAGGGAGAAAAAGGGTGGAGAATTTCACATTTTATCTAAAACCCTTTTCACTCACGTCTGGAAAGTGATGATAAGGCCTTGAGATCAAACATAACTCTTTTATTGTCACAGGCATCTTTATTTTGTCAGCATGGCGGAAAAAAAAAAACTTTTGAGAAGCTTTCCTTATTACCGTGAATGAGTCACACTCTGTCTTGAAAGCGTTTGTACATGTTTCCTTTGTTTGAACAAATAAAGCTGTCTGAGAAGTTGATTGCCAGTCTGACCTTCTGATACTGGAGGAAATGTCTCTCTCTCTATATATATATCTCTCTCCCAGGTCATCCATCTCAATAGCTATGTATGACATCCAGTGTCCATACTTCTCTTTATTCAAATATAAAGTGAAATCCAATGAGGTTTTAATTCCAGGGCTTGTCACTGAGTTGGGAACCTTTGAAAATGACTTTATAAATCCTCAGGTCAATTTGCAAGGGCAGCTTCATAAGCCAACTCTATCGCGGAGAGAGACTTCTATTGATGCGACACGTCTCAATAAAGTGATCACACCACTCGTAAAACCCTCATTAACTCCAGCTATTAGAAGACCCGTGCAAATCAGGGCAAGGCAATCAAACCACTTTAGTCTCTAGAATAAGAATAAAAAATTGCTCTGTGCTTGCGGATCGAAAGACATGCTTGTATTTGAAGGACTGAACAATATAAAGGCGTTTCCCTGACGTTTCAATAGCACTGGGAATTCCACCAGTCGCTCATTACTGAAGTCGGATCAGAGTCGTCCTGTGAAAACCCATAAAGGCGTGTACATGGCGCTCTGCTTCACGAGGCCGTGATAAGTGGCTCTGTCTGGATAGATGCAGCCAGGAAAAATCAATGTTTAAAACAAAGTGGTCATTCGGTCGTTAAATTCTCCTCGCGCTTGAACGATCTTTCGGCGTCTGAACCAGCAGCGGAAACTCAAGCGGTCAGTGAGGTACGTGTTGTTAATTGCGACTCATGGGAGTTGAAGTCGGTATTCACACGGCTTCGCTTCCTCTAACTGACATTTCGCTCTCACCCTCGCTTGTGTGGGGATTGGCAATTCATTCCCCGGTCTGATTTACCGTGACCTCGGTTGTCGAAAGAGACGTCGTCTGAAGGTGTGGGAGGTTATGATTTTTCTCCGCTTTGAATGAAATGCCCACACACACTCATATGATCACCCAAACCCTCTCTTTCCCGCTCGCTTTTCTAGGCGTCAATCATCCCAGAGAAGAGTGTTAATACAATTTCACTTCAACATGTCAGTCTCCATTCAACTGCTGCATATACCCATGAAAAGATCATCATTCTTTCTGATGTGCGGCTTCAAAAGCTGTCACTACATTCTTCAATGTTGAAAATCTCATTCGAAACCGCCGTCCGGCCTTTTTTTGTATGAAAGGCAGTGTGTTGATGCAAAAGCGCTGAATAGAGAAGAGTTTTGTATTATGAGTGAAGATGTAATTGTATGCGCATTAGATTACAGCTTCAGTTGTTAATTGGAAGGTGTATTAAAAGCATCTCGCCGTCTTCGGCCTCCGCCGTTTCTTGTCAATTATCTGCGCTGTCAGCCATCTCAGATGCTGCTTCAAAGGGGAGGTATTTCAAGGTAACACCTCAACAGAATGGGACAGGGAGAGATACCGAGAGCCTCGAAAATCTTTTGATCACTCTTCACCTGGAGAGAAAAGTCTGAGGAGAGGAGTTTAAAAGCTGCCAGGGGAGCGTTTGACTGGATTCATGGTGTCTGGCTTTTCAGATTGTGTTCCCTTGCACAATAAAGGGCAGAGTAGCTGTTCTCAAACTATTTTTAGGTTGCAGGCCAGACCAGTAAAACAAAATACCACAGGATAATAGTGGAGCAGTAAAGGAGACATTGTCAGTTAAATGCATTTTCCAGATGATTTTTGTTTGTTTGTTTTGGCATTGGGTATCATTAGAATTTAATTATTGGTATGACATAATTTCTCACATTGTGTCCCTAGTTTGTTTAAGAGTGGGATTCCACTTTAAAGGAAAACAGACAATCGCTTTTTGTTTATATCACAGCTCATTCAGGGCTTTTGAGCTCAAATCGTGGCTGTGTCCACCAAAGCGTTTTTCGTACATTTTCAATGGGAGTGCCACGTTTTTTAAATGCCATGTGCGTAACGAGGCGCTGAGCGTTTTTTTTTTTTCGCACTGAAGCACAGAGCGCCTATCATTTTTTACTGGTCGCCAAGAGTTTAGCGCCTCATGACTAAACAAAGGGCGCCAATGTCAGTATGCACAGGATGCGAAGAACGCCCTGCGTAAAAGCGTAATTTTTTTTAAACGCCTCGGGTTCGTTTTTTTGGTTTGACGTGCCTCGTCAAAAACTATCCGATCAATGAGATTGGCACGTTTGCTCCCGTGTCTGGAGCTTCTGAAGTTACAGTAAAACACAACTTGGGGGCGCTCAAACACAAAACGGTTCCAGACAGCAAACTGACGTTGAATCAACGTGGAAACGATGTCTCTCATGACATCGAAACAACGTTGATCTGGCATTGTTTTGCTCATCGAATTAACGTTGAACCAACGTCAGACGCGGCATTCTTCAAAGCTAAATGAAAATCGAAAATTGGTTTGCTTTCCTAACGTTGAAACAACGTTGATTTCAAGTTGATTTTTCCGTTAGTTTTGAAGAATGACGCGTCTGACATTGGTTCAACGTTAATTCGATGAGCAAAACAATGTCAGATCAACGTTGTTTCGATGTCATGTTTCCACGTTGATTCAATGTCAGTTTGCTATCTGGGGTGTTGCCGAGCACACATACGTAACGACGAAGAAGATCTACGCCAAGTAGCATCTACACTGCCAGTAAGAAATGCCAGACGAGAAGGATGCAAGGCCTGATGAATGTAGATCTGCTGGACTCATTGGTGTTGGAACATAAATAACTATATGACAAACGCGACAGCAACTACAAAATAGGACTATTTCTGTTTTACATTAAGCGCCATCTAATGTCAGGGAATGAATTTGGATGTTCACTCGGCTCATCGTCAGCGAAAATCGCTTGGGTGTGAACACAAAAAAACACGTCGAAAAACGCTGGTGCGCCGATATTCATCCCATTGTGTACGGCCCTTAAAGGTTCTCTAAGCGATGTGGGGCCAAAAAATTTTTTGTCACATACATCAAACGTCTCTTCACTATCGGCTAGCTGCCTGTCCACTAAACACACTGTAAAAAAACGCGGTCTCTGTAGACACCACAGGCTCCACAAACGGCAACAAAAACAATCATGTCTCACCTGGACCACAAAACCTAACAAACAGTGTTCCAGCCAATCACTAGCAAGAAGTATTTGAGGGTGGGTCTGGGGGGTTAGTGCGCGTGCACATGAAGGGGTCTCGTGTGTGAAGGAGAGACTCAGAGAAGCATCAGAGGGAAGTTTGAAAAATGGCCGACACATGACCAAAGAGACGTCGATCTGAAGAACAAATTAAAAAAAAGGAGTCGGATAAAGAACGTGCGAAGTTCCGAATTTACATCGGTAGCAAAGCTTTTGAACGATGGCGAGAACTCCGGCGGCAGAAGGGCTTCCAGTCCGACATTCAGGTTGCTCTGTTTTTGCTGGACAGGTGGGTAACGTTAAATTGTTTTTTTTCTTCTAAATTGACGCTTATGTTCGCCAAACCCACACAAGGATATAATTAGCTAGAACTATGCACGTTCACAATTATTTCAGGAAGCACGGAAGGGAGGGGGAGGAGATGAGATGCGGAGGAGGGAGGGTCTAGCTAGCCTCCGATTTGTTTGAAAATATTCCGAACGACAACGCTTAGAGAACCTTTAAGGCTGTATCCGAAATCCACACTTCCCTACAATATAGGTGAAAAACAGTATGTCACAGTATATGTCCAAATTCACAGTATTTTTAGTGGTCATAAATCAATTATTCAAAATAAGTATACTCAAGAGAGTTTGCCATTTTGGATGTAGCCTCAGTCTGTTTTTATTGCTTAGCTATATCTTTTAAATGTGTATTTTGTCATTGTTTCGGAGCACACTATAGCCTATAACACAGTGATAGGTAGGTAACCTAACATATTCATACTAAAAGCCAAACAACTTCAATTTTGATTTCATGGGGACTTTAACACTGATCCTTTCTATTCTTGCGTCAAAATATAAATATAAACTACATAAAGATTAAAAAATATTTATATTAATTAGACTATTGTTGTGAGACATCGGAGTCTTCTATCCCCATTATAGCCTACTGTAACTGCGCCTAATCATGGTCACGATATACTTGTGTCCATTTTAAAGTACTACTAATCCCAAGATTCTCGGAGGAGGTCCATTATTTCCGGGAAAAGTGTTGCCAGTGGGAAGGTGCGCGCAGGGGGACCTGTTGGAAATGACGGGAGCTGAAATCCTGTTTCACTAAAGAAATCACAACAAGCAAAGCAACCCGGGGTCTAAGGCAGAGAGCACCGAGCCAGCGGATAACTGGGTGTGTGTAAACTATAAAGAACAAGTGTCATCGCTGAATCCTGGAGTGTTTTAGCTGGTTAGCACGTTAGCTCGCTCCACACCTGCTAGTCGGCTCATTTGGGGCTGCTTGAGACACGCATCTCAGTCAGTGGACACATGAAACATATCCCCCCTCATACAGAACACGTCATGGGGAATTCTTGTTTAGATGACATATTTCAGAGGTCTCGTAATGTGTATAAGAATGAACTGTAATGTTATTTCACTGGAGACACTAGCTGGCTAATTAGCTATTAATCTGCCCACTGACCTACATTCCGTTACAGTCGCTATGAACTAACCTGCGTGTAACTATTTAGCTGTTATTTGCAATTAATAAATAGTTTGAGTAGTTAGTAGTACTAAATAGGACTTAAATATAACCGGTTTGTTTCCTTATCATTGGTTTGATGTGTTTATCACTTATTGTCGATATATTTTTTTTTAAGTTAACGTTACATAATTTAAATGCATACATTTAATGAGAATACTTGACGTTATATTGATAAAGGTGATTAGTGTGGGACAGTTTGGTGATATTGTAGTGGTTTCTCACAGGTAATGCTCAATGGAGACGCTCATGAGTGCCGTGGCGCCGGTGAAGCGCGTGCCCGAGGTGGACTTCCGCTCGGGCACGACGCTGGAGGAGCTGTCGGCGCAGGTGCACGCGCTCGTGATGCTGGAACAGGGAGAGTTCGGGGACCAGACCGCGCTCGAGGTGCACACGGCCAAAGACTTCATCTTTAATATGTTAGGTGAGAAGAACACTGTGAACACACACTTACTTAAATATACACCTAATAGAAACAACACTTTGATTCCTAGTGAGTTTTCATGAACCATAATCTCTCTCACACACACAGAGAGAGAGAAACAGACAGACAGAGACTTGGTAAACCTTACATTATGAGGACAAAAAGATAGCGATACCTGAAATCTTTGTGGGAGGAACAGCATAGCACGCATATACACATAAACAACAATTTGGACCCCCCTCTCTCTTTCTCTCTTTGTGTGTGTGTGTGTGTGAGAGAGAGAGAGAGAGAGAGAGAGAGAGAGAGAGAAAGAGAGAGAGACCTTGTAAACCTTACATTAAGGGGACATACAAGATGGCAATGTCTGAAATCCTTGTCCTTGTGGGGACATTTTTTGGTCCCCATGAGGAAAACAGCGTATAAATTATTCCAACAATATTACGTTTTTTGAAACTGTAAATATGCAGAAAGTTATCTGTGATGGGTATTTTTACGGGTAGGGTTAGTTGAAGGGTATAGAATATACTGGACAACATAAAAATCATTATGTCAAAGTAAAGTCCCCATACAACATGTGTGTGTGTGTATATTTAAACACCATCATATTACTGCTGTAGCTGATTAGATAAAGTACAGTAAATCCACCCTGGTCTACATTTAGATATATGGAGTGTTTTTTGTGTGTTTTTTTAATGTAAAATTGCATTCAGGATGTTTGGAATGAAGTCAAGCTCATCGAACCCTTCAAACCAAGTGTGTATTTTATAAAACGGATCAAAAAGTCTTGAATATGCCGTTTATTTCAGGTGTATTCTCATTGGACTGATGCATTTGATATATCCTGACCCGAGTGAAGCTGTCTGTCCAGCAGGGGTCTCTAGTTCTCTGTATTTCACACCAGCTCTCCTCAACACCCCTTTCTAATCCCCGTCTCCATGCACACACACACACACACACTAAATGTCATCCTGTTTTGTTTGACATAAGGGAGGCTGAGAGATTTGCAGGACTGTATTGTTCTCTGTAATCCTGTCAAATGCTGGATTTGCTGACAGTTTCTCTTCCCCTCTCTCGTTCTACTTTTTCTTTCCCTCGCCCGCTGTTTTTATATTTGTAAAGCCGTAGCCTGTTCTCTCCTCTGTTGGAAACCTTTTAGCCTGTAGCTCTCGTCTGATTCGGTTTCATGTGACTCATCCAGCATTTGTTGTGTTTTTCGTTTACTTTTGCACCTTTGTTTACCGACGTGGACACGGATTTATTTTTCTCCATCCTGTCAGTGCAACGTTTATAATTCTTTCTGTTGTGTCTCCCGTTTTTTGTCCTTTTTAACCCTTTGATGTTCATCCAAAAGCTTCCTACTTATTATTTCCATCTCTCACTCTCCAAAAATATGCAGAGATTTTCAAAGCGACATCCATCACACACCTACAGAGAACGATAGATAGGCGGCTTGTTATTTTTATGCATTCATTCTGAATATTCAGCCCGTATGACAGGAAAAACTGACGATCCACTTTTGTTGAGCCGTACCCATGAGAAGACACTTCAGAAGACCTTACAGTGCAAGTGTGGCACTGATCAATTAATCATTATGATTTCTGTTTCCACACCTTCATGACCTGCAAACATTAGCATACCATCTGCACGCCAGCCTCTCGACTCACTACAATCCTGCGAATGTATTTCTCCCAGAGGAGCTAATTAAACTGAAATATGTTAAAAATGTAAAGGGCAAAAGGGATCATGGTTATTGTAGAAAAACAAAAAAACACACTCTTTATCAATGTTCTGGTTGAAGGTCACAGGCTCCCTCAAACAAACACCATAAACAATTTTTCTTTTCCCGCTAATAATTACGTATTTATACTTCTCATGAAAACTCCCAAATTAACACGTGGATACCTCGAATTTTGAGTGTTTTCTAAATGGATCTGTTTAAAATGTGTTTATAAGGCCACCGAGAGTATGTGATTTTTTTTTTTTTTTTTTTTTTTTTTGCGTCGAAATGGTTTCAGTTTTTCTTACATTTCTTCCGTAAATTTAGAATAAATGCTAATCAATATTTGAGTCATTTTCCCCATCAAAACCGATTGTTTATTAGTGATTGTATATCAAGCGGTGACATGTTTTCTGTGCATTAGGTTTTGTGATATCACCGTAACAAATATATAGAGTCTCTCAGCGCCAAGGGGGTAATCCATCAGCCGGAAGTTGAAGCCTCGCGGGAGCCGCCTGCTGTTAGCATCCCATTGACTCCCATTCATTTTGGCGTCACTTTCACAGCGAATAACTTTACATCTGAGGCGTCCAAAGACCATTTCTAAAGAAACACGACAACGGATAAAATGCTCCATTACTTTGTATCTTACGTTACGGCCCCCGTAGGAGCCGTTTTTGTAAAAATAGGCTAAAGATTGCGTCATAACCACGGGACTTTCTGTCGCACGATAGAGACCGAGGCTGCGTTCCAAACCGCATACTCAATGAGTAGGTACTTAATTTCAATAAGTACTTACTCATCGAGCGCTAAAAGAGTAGGTACTTTATAGCCAAATCTCGTTGAGTATGAATGCGAACCGGACATCTGCCATGTTGACGTTATCATGTGACCTACTACGCGTTATCACAAGCGCAACACCTTCATGCAATAAAAAAATATGAACGATACGTTTAATTAATCTACCTATAAATATCTTGATATTGATGAAACTTGCTCATTTTGTTGTGGTATTGTTGAAGAAACAGCTGCCTATTTATTTTGTGAATACATTTAGGGTTGATTTAAGTTGTTATATTTTAAACCCTACTAATGTGACCAAGTGTTATCCCAGATAGCAAACTGACATTGAATCAACGTGGAAATATGACATTGAAACAACGTTGATCTGACATTGTTTTGCTCATCGAATTAACGTTGAACCAACGTCAGATGCGTCATTCTTTCAAAACTAACGCAAAATCAACTTGAAATCAACGCGTTGTTTCAACGTTATGAAAGCAAACCAATTTTCGATTTCATTTAGCTTTGAAGAATGCCACGTCTGACGTTGGTTCAACGTTAATTCGATGAGCAAATCAACGTTGTTTCAATGTCATGAGAGACGTCGTTTCCACGTTGATTCAATGTCAGTTTGCTATCTGGGATTCTAACGATATTTTTTTTATTAAGAAACCCCAAAATCATCATCTCTTGATTATGTTGTTAATTTCTTTATTTTATACCCAAAAAGTTTCTCCTTTAAGTTTTCCTCTTTTTCTTCATGAATTTACCTCGTTTCATCCCTCAGATATAACAACAACTTTTTTTATGTATTATAAAGAACTATAATGAAGATATTTAGCCTTTTTTATTGTTCTTATTTCCTGTGTATAAATATAATTTTATGTCATATTATGATGTACACAAACCAATGATCTTTATATTTTCTGTTTTGTCACTATGATTGTTACATAAACTATAGTATCTTTCCATGATCTTGCATATAATAAGTTTAAATTATATGAGCGACAGGTGCTCTAACACTTCATAACATCAGTAACTTGACAGCACAACCTAGAACAGCGCTTGTAATGTCTGCACAAAGGAGACGGGCAGCTGCTTGAAGATCTCTTTTGGAGAAAACTGTTGATTTTATACTCAAAAAATGTAAGTATCACTGCTTAAAAAATTAATATTACCTCAGAATGAATTTCATTGTTAGCCCACCCCAAAACTTAAACAAAATAATAATATTAAATGCTGACCAATACTTATATAACTTTTTATATACTAAAAATATAATTTAATAAAACAAGCAAAATGTAATTTGTTTTGTAATATGACAGTAATGCATGAATTCATTTATATTGCTAAATGCAGTGAAACATCTCAATTGTCAGTCAATCGATGAATTAATGCATAAATTAATTACATTTTATATACTGACAACAATAAGAAACATGAATAAATGAGTAAAAGAACAAATAAAAGTAACCATCACAATAAACAAATGCATATACAAGTCAACACATGAAACAGCTTTATTCAAACTACAAGCATGTATTTACAGGCACTGAACCCCAAACCCTACTGCCGACTCAACACAGCGGTTCCCATTCTTTGATGACAGCATTCAGCATCATGAGCCTCTCTCCACCGGATAAACACACGCGTGTTCTTCTGTCCCTGTAACATAGCACACACATGTATTTTTCATGTTGGGATGTGCTCACCTGCAATACTTATACAATATTTTCCTTCCTGATGTAAATAGACATTTTAAATAAGCGTATTTAAGATGTATGGTTATGTAAATACACGTTGGAAACGTAACTTTACGGTTACTGGAGCTCCCCTGTTATCAATACATAATAAAACATGTGTTTACAGCAAAATCACAACTATACTATACTGTCTAACTCCTTTAGACGTTCAACAGTTAAAACGTTTACTCTATAGTAGTTTAACACATACGATTTAAACCGTATTTACTCACATTTGAAAACCCCCGCGTCGCTTATCTCCGCGATGTTGATATTGACGTATCCTCTCGCGTGGCCTCCTGGGATAGATGAGTATCATGAGTAGCCGTGGAAAAGCACTCAAAAATCTGGGCGGAAGCAGTAAGCCATCCGGGAACTTCTCGCCTACTCTTTTTATGAAAACTGATGTTTCGAACGTACTGCTTCCTTCACGTACTGTTTTCGCCTACTATATAGTAGGAAAGTAGGCATATTGGAACGCACTTAAGTCCGAATCTCGCGACAATTACTACGTCACCCTGGTAATTCTCGCCTACTCTTTTGGATTCATTCATACTTTTTTGCTCGCCTACTCTTTTTCCCATACTAAATAGTAGGGAAGTATGCGGTTTGGAACGCAGCCCGTATAGACGAATCCGACGAGCGTTCTTGTGTAGGCTGCTATCTTGTGGCGACGCCATTACTGAGCTGTTACACCGGCATAGACATATGCACCGGTATGTAAACAAACCTCGGAGATAAGGTGATAACGCACCCTTGATGACAGCTACAGCCAGGCAGACTTGTTGGGTTGATGATGTTAGACATTGGCCTCCAGTCACAGATGAAGGTACAAACGATCTTACAGATTATTTATGAAAATAGCTTGGCAAGCTAGCTAGGCTAACGTTTGCTACAGAGGAAACTAAAAAAAGATCTGTCCATTTGGCAACAATAAATAAATAAATAAATGAAATCAAATAAACAATTTCATGTTTGTGCATTTGTGTGCATTATTTATCTCATTTTTACATTGCAACGGGCATGGGTAAGGTAACGTTACAGCTAGAAAGTATACATAATATCGACCAACTACTGTTTTTAAACCATGGAAAGAGGTCAATATAACAGCAGGAGAACAATTATGTCACATAACGTTACATTCAGCTCAGGAAAGCCATTTAATGACCATATTGAATAGAAAAAATAACAAGAGAGGAGATTTTGCTGATCACTATATCACACATTTATTATATTTTTTTACTTATGTCATTAAATAATTGTTATTATACGCGAATGTCCGCGTCTTGTACTCGCCCAGGAAATCTGTGTAAACCGTACGACACCAGACAGGGGCAGTCGACCCGGGGTATTCACAATGTTTTCTCTTCAAAATTGAAATTTTACTGCCACCATTGAAACAATTTATAACGGAAACTGTTTACCCACTCGACATTATACAAGGGCTAACGTTGTAACGTTAGTGACAGTCGTAAATCGCGAGCTGTTTATTCCAGTGGACGTAAGTTGCAACTAAAACAATAGAAGGCAATGGCGCAACGCTACCCAGCAACAGCTCAGTAATGGCGCCCGCTTACTTCCGGTAGTTTCGCCGGATTCGTCTATAGACAGGAGGAGAAGCAAACAATTGCAAACAGCATAAACTAAACGATCGATTCTTTGTTCTTATTTTGATTAAACTTAAATTGATTCTTTAAATCCAATTTTTCATCGGACACCGATCCTGTATTTGTCTGAGTTATGTATTGCTTGGACAGAGAGATTATGTAGCATCATTATAACATTCATCTTGTTATTTAAATCCATAATGTTATCGTTATTTTTTCTTGGAAAAAATCCCAGTAAGTGTCCCGTAGAGGTGACTTGAGTCCAACCTTCAATACATTATGTGTAACTCATGCTTTGACAGCAGTGCATGTTGGGCTCTGATTTATGACTGGTAAATGCGTATGCTAACCAGCTCCCCTTTGGCGTCTGTCATGCTGAGGGATGTTTTGTTTTGAAGGCATTATTCTGCTTTTGTTTTAAAGTGGTCAATAACGGTGAGCGTATGAGGGAGTGATGAGTGAAATGCATCTGGTGCCGATGGCTTCTGCCTGTAGGGAGCGATGGACATAATGAATTCATTATTTTTGCATGAACAAACTGGTAATTAGTAAAACTATTGCTACTTGTTTTTTTTTTTTTAACACCCCTAGAAAGACATCAGTTATTTTCCTTATTTCCCTAGTGAAGGATCATCTTTAGATTATGGGTCATCAAAGCACTATTTTGAAACTCGTCCATATGGCGGCTATACTTAGTATTCAGTCCTCCTCTCAAAGCGTCTTTTTATTAGTGTAAATGAATGTATGTGATAAATAATTCTAAAGAAATGTGTATTGACCAATTTCTAAGTTCATAAAATATTAAAAGGCAAGATGTTTGTTTTGATTTAAAAAGGATGCCATTAGAGATTTGAAATGTTCATTGCAAAGAATTTAAGGCGCAACGGCTTGAATTGCAAAACAGAGTTGAGGCAGACTATTCATTTATATCTTTCACTCTGAATGAGCAGGAATTATCTGACTCAGAGGATGATGATGCTGTTCCTAAAATGACAGAAATCTCCCTAATCCTCTTCTCAGTCTGTTTCCCTCCCTTCATTCCTTCTGCTTGTTCCTCACTCACTTCAGAAACCAATTATTCAACTAATACTGCATATTATATATATATATATATATATATATATACACACACACACACACACACACAGGTGAAACTCGAAAAATTAAAATATCGTTTTCAGTATTTCAGTAATTAAACTTAAAAGTTGAAAGTATTATATTATATATACTCATTACATACAAAGTGAGATATTTCAAGCCTTTATTTGTTATAATTTTAATGATTTTGAAAATTAAATTTAATATTTAAGGATACATCTATATTGTATTTATAAAAAGAAAACTATGCAGTGTTATTTTACATATAATTTCTTAAATTTGCTTAGTTATATTTTTATTTGCCATATTTGTTTATATTTTATTACTAACTTTATACTTGTCTTTAATAATGTTTGGAGTGTATTAGTTATTTTAGTTCATTTGTTGTTGTTCAGGCTGCTAATTTTTGCTCATGGTGTTCAGCTGCAACACAATGTTTTGCAAAAAGGCACAGAATCAGGCGTAATGATATGACGCAGCGCCTGAAAATAGTGCCCAGCTTCCAACATGACCGGGACTAAGTTTGTGTAGTCATCGCGCCTGCTGCACTCATGGTACGGCAGTAAAGTTTCTTGATTATTACGCAGCAATGAGAGTATAGTTCCCTGCATATCAGCCTGAGAAAATCACAACTTAACATTTTCCGTCGGTCTCAGTGCACGATGTAACTATAGAAGAGTCAAGTTTTAAATAGGAAAAATATCGAAACACTTTGGTAATTTTTTTGGGAGAAATGCTAATGGTCTTGTGCACTTCAATGATGTATGCTAAGCTATGTTAAAAGTGGTACCGCCAGAACCGGAGATCGGCTGAATGGATTCAAAAAAGGTAAAACTCAACAGTTTAACTCTGGGGAAGTTGTAAAAAGAGCGTATTTCCAAAAAAAGTGGAGTATCCCTTTAAGACGTTTTAAATGCTTTCAGCATTTTGAACTTGAATTGTTTAGAGCTGTGATAACATTGCCCTCTTCTACCCATCCAATATCTCCCTAGCACTATTTGTCTTTTTAAAGACAGTTGATATTACCTCTTTAGCCATGAATATTCTTCCTTTTCACAGGCCTGGTGCAAAAGGTAGACAAACGACTACCGGTTGCCAACGAATACCTGCTGCTATCAGGTGGGGCCAGGGAAGGTGTTCTTGACCTTAACCCAGAGGACCTTGGTGACTACGCCAAAGGTGTTGACTATGATTTGGACTTCACTCTACTGGTGCCAGCTCTGAAATTGCATGACCGCAATCAGCCTGTGACGCTGGACATGAGGCATTCCCCACCTTGCCATTCATGGCTAAGCCTGCGCCTCTGCGATCCCGCGATGCTGATGCGTTGGGGAATCTGCTGTCAAGACGAGATTAACACCGAGAATAAAGATGCGGAAGAGGAAGAAACTGGCGGAGCACCCGGCTCAATCCCATCTCTACAGCATCCTCCATCATTAGATGGGTGCTACTTCTCTCCGTTGTTGGTCGCCGATTGGTTCTGGAGTGTAGTTGGGACAGCGGTTGAAGACTTGCGGAGGAATCCTCAAAGAGGGATCCCTGTTCCTGATCGTGTGGAGCGTAACGGCCCTTTAACAACGCTGATTCTCACGGCAGGAACTAGCCGGATCCTCTACGACTTGCTTCCAGTGGTGTCGTTCCGTGGCTGGCCGGCCGTCGCACAGGGCTGGCTCACGACCAACCATTTCTGGGATGGTAAAATAACAGAAGAGGAGGCCATCAGTGGGTTCTACCTGCTCCCATGTTATTCTCCAGCTGCAAGTCCCTCAACCAGACCTGATCGCGAGTGGAGACTTGCCTTCTCCCGCAGTGAGGTTCAGCTAAAGAAATGCGTGCCCTACCCAATGGCACAAGCCTTCCAAGCGGCTAAAGCCGTATTGTCAAGACTGTTAGCTCGCCCTCGCACCGGCCTTAGCCTCTACCACCTGCGTACCTTGATGTTTTGGGCATGCGATCGCTTGCCGACCAGCTTCCTTAGCTGTCCAGATAACGAGACACCTGCACGACTCTTCCTTGGTCTTCTCGATGACTTGTCTCACTGCGTTCTGGGCAAAAACTGTCCCAATTACTTCCTACCCCAGTGCAACATGCTAGAGCATCTCACGGACGGCGCTGCCCTGTTAGTCGCGCGTAAACTTGCACATTTACGTTCTGATCCTGCAGAGCACTTAAGAGCTGCTTTAGAGCAAGCGCAACAGGCATGCCAGCTCAAACGAGAGGCAGCGGGAGCTGGGAGCAATGGCTTATCGTCGCCTAGCCACGGATATGGTGCAGGATCACCTCAGGATGACCGGCTAGCACAGCGACTACAACAGCTGGTGACAGAAAACCCTGGCAAATCAATTTCAGTCTTCCTCAACCCAGACGACGTCACACGTCCTCATTTCCGCATTGATGACAAGTTCTACTGAGTGGACGGAGTGGTTAACACACTTACCAGGGTACAGAAACCCTATATAACAGAACTTATAACGGACATGTCACTGTACTTCTGTATTGAGCCAAATTGTCTCCAGAGTTTTGTTTTTCGCTCAACAAGGCTGACTACAATCAAAGCACCTGCTCGATGCTCCCATGAGGGTTTAACGGGTGTCACACATGTCAGGGAGAACAGAACAGATTTTTTAGTTATGTGACTTGATAATAGAGAGCCTAAGTCCCGCCCCTTCGCTTCCGGCTCATGGGACCTTATTTCCGAAAAAATATGAATGGTAGTCAATGGCGAGAGACAACTTATCTTTTTATTCCGTCTGAACTGTGCCCTGAATTACACATATGATGTTTGTCAATTTAAAAGATAATTCTGAAAGTCAAAAACATCGCAGTTTGTCATAAAACAGAAGAGCAACATTTAGTTTTATGTGAAAATCGCTCTATGAACTACATCTCCCGGGAAGCGAAACAACGAGTGAGATTCGCTGCTTGTGTGTGCAGTCTGGTACAAAACACTCAGGTAACGTTACGATCGTAACGTAAGACTATAGAAACAATGACAGACAATAGCCTCAGTAAAGTTAGCTTCATTCATTGAGAGAAAATGTGCGCCTTTGGGGTTTGTAGTCTTTGTAATACCTCAATGGCTTTACATCAAACTGCGACTTTCTTTACTTTAAAATGTATCTTTTAAATTGACAAACATCATATGTGTAATTCAGGGCACAATTCAAACGAGATCAAAATATTTGTTGTCTCTCGCCATTGACTACCATTCAATATTTTTCCGAAATAAGGTCCCGTGGTGGTCGACCGGAAGGGGAGGGACTTAGGCTCTCTACATCAAAATTCAGTCACATCCTGAAGAAATCCTCATTGACATTGTACATTGTACTTCAATTGAGTTTGAAGAGATTTAAATCGCTACTGAGAATAGAAACTACTAATATTTTCTGCTGAATGAGGGCAGTAGAGCTGGAAAACCAACTCGGCCAAGGCACATCATGATGAAACCGAACGCAATGTTTTGTGTGTGTGGAGAAGTTTGTGGTTATTGATCACATAAGCCTCTCTTTCTTTAGTCTGTCGTTTACCCCGCTTGCTCCCTTTCTCAGGTACTTTTTATTACTTTCTTTTAACTGGCGAGTTTTGAGTTTTGACCAGAAAGATAGAAAAAGACAAGGAATAACTCGCAAATCCAGGTCTAAGAAGCTGTTGTACAGCCCGTAGAAACAATCTTTTTAGAACAAATACTGTTCGAAGCTATATATGCCAATGATAGTATATCAAGTATCAGAGACCGTTTTAGATGCTGTATAGAGATAGGTTGTACACCGATTGTGGATTCTAATCTACACATAAACGGTATGTGTTATAGTGTAAGGGCTCTTCTTTGTCAATTATTATTGCATATGTTTAAATTAAAGTGAAAGTTAGATGTTTAGAGAGAGATCTAGACTGGGCAACAGGTTTAGAGAAAGGATAGAAGGATAGTCTAAAGAGACAGGAGTACGTCTCTGTGTTTTTGTGTGTGTGAAATGAGTATCTCACTCATGCAGATTTGCATTGGTAGGCAGAAGCCATGTTTCCATCGACACGTTTTTATCCGAATTAAGTGATAGCGAATGAAAAATGCCTTATGGAAATATGGAATTCTATGAAATTTCATGAAAATCGGCTCAAATGAAATGCGTTCGGTCTCATCGGATTTTCTCTTGATCGATATACGGCTAATGCGATAAAAGCTGATGGAAACGTTATTTGCCGAATAATAAATAATGAATTGCGATTAAGTTTTATGCCCTTTTATGGTTGCAACACGTCAGAAGACGAGTTCATTTCCGGCCAGTCTGTTTGCGCACACATGGCGGATGTCAACAAAGACAGATGTAAGTGGGCAAAGCAAAAAGATGCTTCAACCAAAGGGTTTCCGTGAACCACGATCTCCCAGAACTGATGGAGCGCTGTCGTTCCCACACCACAGTCACCTCCGCTGTCGTCGGGCATAAACGTGCATCGGCATCATCATAGCAATGTTTATAGCGTCGCTGTTTTCTTAGGTTAGTTTTGCTTGTTTTTACGTGGCTTGGTTGAATTGTAATGTAGAATGTGGTCTGTTATTTCTAGTTAACAGACTGCGCCGCTGCTAGTATAAACACACCGTTGCTATGGACGCAGTTCAGAGACGGAACAGCCCAGATAGCAAACTGACATTGAATCAACGTGGAAACAATGTCTCTCATGACATTGAAACAACGTTGATTTTGCTCATCGAATTAATGTTGAACCAACGTCAGACGCGGCATTCTTCAAAGCTAAATGAAAATCGAAAATTGGTTTGCTTTCATAACGTTGAAACAACGCGTTGATTTCAAGTTGATTTTCCGTTAGTTTTGAAAAAATGACGAGTCTGACGTTGGTTCAACGTTAATTAGCCTTTCGCCGAGCCCCGCCCCCCTTAGTTACTGCTGCTACCTCCGTCAAACAAATGGTCAAACACGGGCAGCGCGACAGATTGCCATGACGGCAAAGGGTATTCCCGTGCGTGTCGGTGACCTTTTTTGGAGCAATACCTCCGCGATATCAAGCAAGATCGAAGCAAAAGGGGTTACGGTATGCGGTGGAGGGATTTATTCCAAATATAAAATTAAGAAATGAATGAGACACGACTACTATTGATGCTAATGCTTACCAGTCTCAAGAAAAATCAGAAAAGCCCCATGACCATGCTAAGTTACCTCAAATGCAACCAGCACAGCCTTGAAGATTTTATAAACTGGTTCAGTGGCTAATTGTTTGGAGTTCGAAATATATAACTTGCGCTGCATATTTATTCATTTTGCCTCCGATACAGGAGTACACGTTCGCTTTAACAAGCAGGTTGTTCATTACCACAGCAACCGATTGCGTGTCATGCTCATGCTGAATGCGATTTTCGTGTTTAAAAAGTAACTAACGTTATGCATAAGAGACGCAAAGAGGCAGAGAACCATACGTTATTTAAGGTTACTTCTATTCGTTACGATATTGATATATGAACTGATGTTGTCATGTAAGCTTCATGCTTTACCCGTTGCGAACGTCCTCTAAACTGTAGTCTACGGTGCTGCACTGCTAACTTAGCTGACTGCTGCTCATTTTCCCAGAGAATATCATGGTATGTTAACAACAACCCTTTAGAAAATGTACAGTAAGTCCTTTGTGGATCCTCTTGATCTGCTTTCTCCGTGCTTCTTTGACTAATCTCAGTCGCACGCACGCTGCACGCGAGACGAGTTAACCATGTTCGACACATTTAACTGGAATTGGGGCGTCCACACTGTTTAATACATCTTAGGCACCGCTCGCGTTGTGTTTTGGGCTTTGGAAAGGGAAAAAACACAACTTCTCCAGACAATCTCTCGGGGTATCATCTGTCCGATTTACTAACGCCGTGGGCGCACCGCTTACTGTTTGACGGAACAGCTCACACAGTAACGGTTGCTATGATGTGTGATTGGACAATGGCCATTTTGTGGGAGGGGCCGGCGAAAGGTCAATTCGATGAGCAAAACAATGTCAGATCAACGTTGTTTCGATGTCATATTTCCACGTTGATTCAATGTCAGTTTGCTATCTGGGAGACTATTTTCTTTAGCAGAAGCAATACTCGTTTTTAAATCAATAAACTCGTTTTTAAGTCATAATTTTGTGTCAAATTATTTATTTATTTGGTTGATTTATATGTAGGCTAATAAGCAGGATAATATATAGCGAGGCGGTTGTTATAGCGAATACAACCAACAACCGCCTCGCATACATTATCCCATTCATATGTCGCCATCAGCTGGCACATAAGCATTATTCGACTTCAACTTGTGAAATATTGATCATTTTTGGTAGCTGGCGCGATCCGTTTTGTCTAACAAAACTTTGTTCGCAAAAGTTTGCTTGAATGTTGTTCGATACAGTGCGAAAATAAATGGAAACACCTTAAAATGTCTCAAATCAATTCGATATACCAATTTGATCGCAAAACAGCATGTGACGTCATTACGTACAGGTTTTTATTCGCTTTAAAGCCGTTGGATGGAAACACACTTTCACCAGCTTTATCCGCATGAGTTTTTTAACCGAATTTCAGATAATTCGATTGACAAGTGGATGGAAACATGGCTAGAGATGGATGGAGAAAGTCAAACACGACGATTAGGCCGAACCAATGGGACTCGTGGGATGGCAGACATCCGCTCTCACTCACTCATTGTCCCTTCCCGTCTCCTTCCTAAATCCTTCCCTCTTCATCGGCCTCCATCTCTGGCTGTTCTTTATCCATCTCTACCTCTTCAACTGTGCTCAAGGATTAAAGAACAATATTACATGTGTATTCAGCATAAATCGCATTAGCACCCTGTGGGAGTTGGGCAGACCATTCATGTGTGCTGCTGCGCATATACAGAGCAATCAGTAACAGCGTTGCCTTTGAATGATGGCAAAATGGCGAGGAATAGTCTTTTTTTAGCGGATTTGTTATTCCAGACATGCTACTGAAAAGAGTTTGTGTAGTGTTGCACACGACACAGGTAGGCTCCTATACACATATCTGCTGTATGCCAAGGAAAAGACACCAAAGACTGATTGCTTGAGATTAAATGTCATGCATCATGTAGGAAAGCGGATGCATATCTATTGTAAATTGTCAGGATTTGACACTGTATACCTTAAAAGGCCTATTTAGTGGGTTGAAATGCTTGAATCCATATTTGCAATGCTATTTTCAGTGTTTTACTGCTTGTATTATGACCGTTGTTTATCACAATTCCTGATTTTAAAATAACAGTGGTACTATGCAACATTTCTGAATCGACTTTATGAATGAGATATTAAAGCATGTGATAATTACCCAAGGGGGTTTTATATAGTGATTGCAAATTCAAATTAATGTTCCTGCCTCAGGGCATGATGAAATGTCCCGAATGCATTTCAGGTAAATATCTGAAGAAAGCCAAAGCACATTCATTTTCCTTCCCAACTTTTTTTTTTTTTTTAATAACTTGGTCCCAGTGTTTCTTTATCTGATAGCGTATTCCCTCTGGTCATGCCGTTGTGTAATAAAGAGTATTTTCGCCCTTGAGCAATGAATGTAAACAACTTATTTTACCTCTTAAATTAATCTAGTCACCTGTTTAAATTCCCTGAACGGAAAAGAAATGACGCATATTTAAATGGTACCAAATATTTATACATTTTCATATCAGTTCTCTATTGTGCCTCGGAAGGC